TCATGCCCAGCCATGCCCCGTTTTACTGCGCCTCCTTGTCCGGCTCTGCTTTGCCGACCCTCGCCTCACCACGCCTGGCTCCACTTTGCTGGGCCAGGCACTAAAGCACCACTGAAAACAGCAGAGTCTGTGTGCGTGCCAGCCTTGCCCATGTCAGCCAAGCTCTCCATGGTGCACTACAGCTGATCTGAGGTGTGGAAAGCAAAGGCTGATGGGTGAGCTTGTAGCAGGCGAACACACAGACTCCGCTCTTTTCAGCAGCCCTTCTTGCCGCTGGGGCTGCTGCTCGCCTTCCTCTGCACTAGCGCCTCCTTGCCCCACTCGCTGGCCTGGTCTCACAGCCTGCAAGGCTTTTCTTCCACTGGGATCACCCCACCCCCGAGTGGGAGAGCCGTGGCCGGCAGCTTCCTTCCTGAGCATGGAGGAAACATAATGGGAGTTTTAGGATTCTGCCTGCCAGCGTGCAATAGGAGTTTGCAGGGGCTGTCAGGGGGACACGGCAGGTGAACGGCAGCAGTTTTCGGTTTCTGGCAAGAGGGGGTCGAAAGCCAAACTGCCCTTTCGGCAGGCTTAGAGTCAACCCCGGTGTGGAGGCAACGGAGGGAGGGTGGACTGAAAAGGAAGGCACTGCTCCACATGGTGTTTTTTTTAAGCTGCCAGAGGCTCCAGACAGAAGTTTCCAATTTTGACCACTTCCCCTATCATTTCCTCCTGCTCCATGGCTCTCAGCTCACCTCTCCCAGAACCTGCACATGTGTTTGTGTGAGTGTGCGCGCGCGTGTGTGTGTGGGGGGGTATCACCTCCTGCAGCCCCATGCTGTGACATTGGGAGGAAAAGAACGGGAGAGGGGAAAGAAGCTGAGATGGGAGCTTCTTGCAACCTGCAAGAAGGCATCGAGAAATGTTTCCCCTTTTGCATTTGAGCATCCAAGAAGGGACAGGAAAGGAGAAAGGAAAGAGGAAAGACAAAGAAAAAAGAAAGAAAGAGGGGAAGAGAGTAAGGAAGGAAAAAGAAGGAAAGAGAGGGAAGGAAGAAAGAATAAAGAGGGAAGGAAAAAGAAGAAAAGGGAAGAAGGAAGGAAGGGAGGGGATTACAATGAGAGAGAGGGAGGGTCTGAGCGAAGTGCTGTCCTAAAGCATTTGGCCACCAGCAGCCTGCTCCCCTTTTGCCATCCCCTTATCTCCTCCTCTTGATCTCTTCTAGTGGTCTCCCTTCCTATTGCTGAGGATACTTTAGTTACAAAGTCAGGTTTCCTCATATGGAGAGAGAGTGGGCCTCCCTCTGACCCACATACTTTGCCCTCCCACACACATCATGAGCAACCTGGCCAAGCAGAGCAAGAACAACAGCAGCAGCTTCAAGGAGGAGATAAGTGCAGCAGGGTACCCTCATGGGATAGCAGGACTGGGCTGTGGGGTCCCAGTGCCCTAGGAGCTCGAGGACCAGCCTGGATGCCCCCAGCCCTGCCCAGACCACACAGGTGCCCAACACAAGCAATGTTGAGCTGGCCACGCCCACCCTGACCACACTCACCCTGACCATGCCCACCCGGCCCCCCAAGGTCCATCACAACCCTGATGTGGCCCTCAGTGAAATTAAGTCTGACACCCCTGTTTTAGAGCAACATTCCTGATAATAAAATCTATAAGAAGAGTGGGGTTTTTTTTAAAAAACAAACAAACATCCTCATGTCATTGGACTACGTTCAATATAATTCAAGTGAACTTCCATTCAAACAGTACTTCACAATTATTTCAAATTATTTCATAAATTGATGTAATTATAATTACTTCACAATAATTCTCTTCCCACAATTCATTTTCTGTGTGCCTCTCTAATTTACTGCAGTCGATATTCAACTAACCAGACGGGGTGAGGAGAAGTAATCTATTGCTCAATGCTTTTCTTTCATCTAAATGACATATTTTTTTATAATTTTTTGGCAAAATCATGCTGTTACCTCAGTATTTGAATTTGATCTCCTGAGTAATTCAGTATGAACTTAATATCTCATTATAAACTTAAAAAGCATCTTTATTGCATTTAGGACTTGTGTACTCATAAAGAAGATTCATTGATTGTTAGGAGTCTGCTCTTCAATATTAATAGCTCTAAACCGTATGTGTATTTTATTGCAATGACTCATTAAATACTTCTAGATAAACATCACTTCTGAAAGTGCAATGAATTTATAACTGTAAAAGCCGATGTATGTGAAACGTTTCCTTTTTAATTTGTTTGAATAGGCTCATTTTGTATCAGCCCTGACAGTGGTGTTCATCAATTCCAAGTCATTATCTTCCATTAAGATTGAAGATACTCCAGTAGATGATCCATCCTTGAAGGTCCTTGTTGCTAATAATAGTGATACTTTAAAATTGCTTAAAATGAGCAGCTGCCCTCATGTGTCCCCTGCTGGTAAGTAATAAATACAACGCTGTGGCAAGAGTGATGAACTATTCTTATTGTATTGTCTTTGCCCTTTGGTTTCAAAATTATCTTGCTATATAGAATTTTTTTCATGCCAATTTTTACTCTTGTCATTGCAGCTGCTGGGTTCATTCTTAACTAGAAACTTTGAATAGATTTTTGGAAGTAGCAACAGGGGCTAATCTTTTAAATGAAGAAGCAGGTTTATTATATTACAGTTTGGTAATGTTAACCTGCTGTGGAATGCTCTGAATTTCATAGAACCATAAAACATAAGATCTGAAAGACTTTAAAACTCAACTAGTCCAATCCCCTGTACCATAATGCCTTCTTAAATTCTCCCATCTTTCTTCTCATTGGAGTGGAGTGTAGTTGGTCTTATTCTGGGAACATTACTGACTCTCCTATATTGTTTAATCTGAGGATAGCCATCCATGGGGTTCCGCCTAGTACTTTTCTGAGTTTGCTGACATTAGCTCTCCTGAAATATAGTGTGTGTCATATGACCAGCATATTGAAAATCATGTCATGTCCCATTCTCTTAAGGGTTCCCTTTTTGTTTAGCTCTTCAACCAGCCCTTCCCTGTTGATTAGAATCAGATATAGGAGCACCAGCCACCTTTTTTTCCTTCATTTTCTTTTGGAAAAATGAACAATCAACAAGGAAAGACTTGGCTGATTTGATTTTCCAGCTGATGTCCAGGTAATTGAAGTCTTCCATTATTCCTAGATCTCTCTTCCATATGTCTTTGTAATCTTCTGCCTGACATGGCCATCTGTAGCACATCATCACAATAATATGCTTGTAATTTCATATCTCAAGGGTACTTTTCTAAAAGGCAACTGGAGTTCCTTGCTTTTTTCCTTGAAAACATTACACTTCTGTTTACAACACAGTCCTTTCAGCAGTCCCAAGAAGGTTCCACACCCATTTGTACTCTGATTCAGGTGACTCTGAGGACAGAGATACTGTATATGGTCTATAATTTTTTAAATAAGTTACACTCTTCAATTTGTGCATTCCCCTATGCGTTCTTCTGGTAGTTTCTTTCTACCAGACTTAAATAATGCTTAGTAAATTATATTGTTTTTTCTGCATTAAGTGCTCTATTCTTTTAGTTTGTTCTCCATATATCTCAAAGAATCAGAGTCCAAACTGTTTCCATTGGCACAACATATTTAACCAATTATTTGATCCTTGTAGAATTTCTTGTAAGGTCATATCATTCAACAGGAAATGGTTAAAAAATACTGTTAGTACCTCTAGATCAGGGGTGTCAAACTGCCGGCCCGTGGGCCGGTTTCATCATACCGGAGCCGCGCCCACCCCATTGCCGGCAATGGCAAAAAAGCTCCGATACGTTATGCGACGTCATGTGACGTCGCGAGTTTGACATGTCTGCTCTAGATTCATTGCTCTGTTGCACAGAAATTCATTTCCTTGCACTATCTTCAGACTATATCAAACTGTATCATTTGTTTCAATGTGTCTCAGTAGAAAGTTATAGTCAGGAACTTTTCTATCATGTTCTGAATGTGAGACCCAGAAAAGAAGTACATTTCTGTTCATAAGTTGGCTGGTTGCTACTTCAAAATGTTTCAATAGGGCGTCTCCAATCTTCACCACTTAATCACTTCATCCTCTTTGGGGTAAAGAGAGAAATCTTTTCCTTTCCAGAACCTGTGTGGTCCTCTTCCTCAGCTCTGTATCCAGTTGTTCTTTGCTGAGGGATCCAGAAGCACCATAAATGGAGAGGCTCTGGAATCATCTTTTCATCCAAGCGGTCACGAGCCTGCTTGCAACTTGCAACACATGTTCTTTTTTTTACAAGATGACAAACATGGTTGTTCTGTGAGAGTCATAAGAGTTACTATTTTGATTTGCATGTTTTTCACATCAGAAGATGGTTGGGGGAGAGTTTTGCTCATTAGATGAACTGATTTTTTTTTCATAAATTCCTAGTTAAATAGGTATTTAGTTTATTTTCAGATGAAATTAGGCAAAATTACAAATTAAAGATTGTCGAAAGATTTCACAAAAATATCTCAATGGATTACAAAATAAAATTACTTAGTGGCTTTAATTATGCAGAATTAAAAGTGCAAACGTAATGGAATTAAAAACCCTCCTTGCATCACATTTTTGTCTTCCTGATGACAATATATGTTCCTATGACCAATTAAATCTTTGCAAGTTATGTCTATTGTGCATGTTTTTGGACTGAAACTGCATTGAAAGAAATATCATTGATTTTAAAGATTTTTTTTCTGAATGATTTACTGTATGTAAATGTTTTGTTTAGAACATGTCACTGCAAAGAACCAAATGATAAACTTATTGAGATATTGATAGTATTTCTTCACTGAAGTTGCAGATGTGTGTTTTCTGAACAAACAGAGGAAGTAATGTAGAACTTTTCCCCATCAATTTCATGATTCCCCCCCCCCTCCCGGTTCAGAATACATTAAAATATTTGCAACTTTGCTGGGCATATGAGCACTATAGCATAAAAAGATAAATTGAAGTATATTTTATACACTTGGGTTGAATTTTCTATCTTTTTTTTAGGAATTCTTTGTGTTGCTGACCAGTGTCATGGCCTTAGGGAGTTGGCTCTCAACTACCATCTACTAAGTGATGAACTGTTACTGGCTCTTTCAAGTGAGAAGCACGTTAACCTGGAACATCTCCGTGTAGACGTTGTAAGTGAGAATCCTGGACAGACTGAATTTCACACCATCAAAAAGCAAAGCTGGGATGCGCTGATTAAGCATTCCCCTAAAGTCAACATTGTGATGTATTTCTTCCTATATGAGGAAGAGTTTGATGTATTCTTCAGGGAGGAAACTCCCGTAACTCATCTTTACTTTGGCCGTGCAGTAAGCAAATCAATGCTTGGCCGCATTGGATTGAACTGCCCAAGACTTATTGAATTGGTTGTTTGTGCTAATGGTCTTCAGCCTTTAGATGATGAACTCATTCGCATCGCTGAACGCTGTAAGAATTTAACTGCCATGGGACTTGGTGAATGTGAAGTTACCTGTCGAGGCTTTATTGAGTTTGTAAAGATGTGTGGAGGCAGACTCACACAACTGTCCATTATGGAAGAAGTGCTCATTCCAGATAGTGACTATAATCTGGATCAAATTCATTCTGAAGTTTCCAAACATCTTGGAAGAATGTGGTTCCCTGATATGATGCCTACGTGGTAAACTGATCAAGCCATAAGACTGTAATGATCAGACCTGACTGTACAGGATGTTGATTTCTATGCAAATAGGGAATTCTGAATCAGAGATATAATACTGAATTATTTTTTCCAGTACTTAATTATGTAGTGGCAATACCATGCCCCTTGAGAAATGGAATATGTACTGTACTGAAGTATATAGATTGAAAGTACATCTCTTAAATATTAAGTGCTTAGATTATTCTCCAATTAGAATAATTTAAAATTATGTCTTCAATTTTCACAGACATCATCATCTACTGCAGGGCTTTTCAACCAGTGGTACGGGTACCACCTGTGGTACATTGGCACCTGGCAGGTGGTACGCGACCATCCTAGAAAAGTGGTAGTGGGAGAGGGAATGAGCTGAACCGGTGGCAGCACCGCACAAGCCTGAGCGAGAGATGGCTGGAGCTGCAGGGCTGTCAGGGCTCAGTGGAAGTGCCAGGAATCAGTGCCAGGCTCCAGCTGGAGCTTGCTACTGATCCTGGTGCTTCTGCTGAGCCCAGAAGAAGTGCCGATCAGCTGGAATGTTGCAGCATCTCGAGGGTCTTGTGATTTACATTCAGATGCTTGGCAACTGATTCATATTTATGACGGTCATATTGTCCAGGGTCATGTGAAGTGACCAAAACCTGCTGCAACTACCCAGCAGATGGGAGGAATAAAAACCAAACCACCCCCCTGCTGCCAATCCTCAACAGAAATGCTCACAACAATGAAAACCTCGGATAGGAGGAAGAGCGCCGCAGGGCAGGCAGGTGTTTGCTCGGCTGTGGCTTGGGGGGCACTTTTTTCAATGCCATTGTAACTTCAAACAGTCACTAAGCGAACTGTTGTAAGTCAAGGACTACCTGTACTTTATCACTTTTTTCCTTTTGGGGGGGTCATCAAGTTTTTGACACCTTGCTAGGCGACTGGTGGTCCTCGGATATTGCCATATCCTAAAAGTAGTACAATGGGTGGAAAGGTTGAAAACCCCTGATCTACTGCAAAGTACGTACTACAATGCTAGTATTGTATTTGATACAACTGGCCGCCTTTGATGTCCCAAATTTTAAACTAAAGCTTGTTTTTCCTTTTCCTCTAATGAAAACTGATGGTAATGTACAAATTTGTAAAAAGCAGCAGTAACAATATTAGAACTATGGCAAATGTATGACTGTGTGCTACAAAAGCTAGTGTTATAAAAATCTGCCTGAACATTCTGTTATAACAATAATAATATGCTTCTTGGCTGCAAATTGCAGGAATGTAAAACTTCAAATATTGGGGTTCTGTTACTGACATGTTAGTGGAAGAGCAGTATAGATCTGAGAATTAAGAGTTCAGAATAAAGGAGAAAAGTCTGTATCTCCCGATGAACTTGTTAAATTTCAAATCTTGTAATTTGCCTTACTGAATTACTGAAAGTAACATGAGAAAAACATACTTGAACAATTCTCTAAAGTTCAGATAAAGCTATCAGTATGTAACATTCTGCATTATGGAAAGATTTAGCAATTTTAATTGTTAGTGTTTAAAACAAACCCGAGTAAAGTCATCTCAACCATTTTTTTCCAGTGAGCAGTTTTGTAATAACCAGGTCATAATGCTGTGTATTAAATAACGTCAGAATGTTGATGTACATGTACAAAAATAAAACTCTATGAGATTAATGTATTTTTATTACTATTGCTATATTAACAGTTATTTATCCAGGTGATAAATCTAAAACATTAATAGGTATAAAATAAAAACTATATATCCTCTACAGTTAATAGTTAAAATGTATCAAATCAAAATACATACCTTTACATTCGAACTAATTGATACAGAAATAAAATTAAATGCAGTATGCTTCTATTATTTATTTATTTATTTATTTATGTATTTATTTATTTATTTATTTATTTATTTATTTATAATGTAACTGCAACCTGTCAAATAAACAGTGTCATCTTGCTGGACTCAGGAAGTGTGTTTACTCTATTGCCATTTGGAATGATCTCCCTGCAGACATTTCTGTGACTCCTACTCTTCTGTTGTTATTAAAGACCTGGTCTTGGGAACCGAGTGATTATGTAGCTCCTGATTTGGTATTATTTGCTTCTGGTAGATTTATGGTTGATATTTGCTTTTCTGGTCAGCTGTGTTCTTTGGTGGTTTGGTTTTAAATTGTAAACAGCTTATAACCATGGAGTATGATTTTTGTTTGTTTGTTTGGTGACACAGTGGTTAACGTGCAGTATTACAAGCAAACTCTACCCATAGTCTGGAGTTCAGTCCTGACTGGCTCAAGGTTGACTCAGCCTTCCATTCTGCTGAGGTCAGTAAAATGAGAACCCAGATTGTTGGGGGCAATATGCTGATATTGTTATCCGACAGTGCTGTAAAGCATTCCAGGGCAATATATGTCAAAGTGCTATTGCTATTGCTAAAATTGAGCCAAATTCTGTATTTTTATTTTATTTCAGGAAGTATTTATTGGGAATTTCTTTTAGTATTTGAATTTATTTTAATATTGTATTATAGTTATATTTAAATATAAAATGTTCAAAAGAAACAGACCTACCAAAGGAGGAGGTGGAGTTGCATTATATGTAAAAAAAATCACATCTCTTCAGAAATGCATAAAACCAAGGATAAAAGCCTCTTTGAATGCATATGGGTTAAAGTAAAAGAAAAAAATTACAGATACCCAAAGTAATTGAAATATGGTAATTGGAATTTTGTAAAGCTTAGGGTTACCTGCCTGAGCAGGGGGTTGGACTTGATGACCTCCAAGGTCCCTTCCAACTTTATTATTATTATTATTATTATTATTATTATTATTATTATTATTATTATTATTATTAATAATAATAATAATAATACAGGATTGGGATTTTTACAATTAATGGCTTTTCATAAATTTTATTGATTGATGGATTTGTATTAGAAATGTATTAATCTGAATATGTTACATGATTGGTGGGAACTAGAGAGGGAATTTTTAATGAGTTAATTTGAATTATACATAAATGTGTTGGTTTTTGGATAATTGATTACCCCATCATCACGCTGTTTCCTAAGCGCTTTGTTGTAAAAATTGAAAAACTTAATAAAACTTAATAAAACATAATTAAAAAAAAGAAAAAAAAGAATGACAAAGGTGTACACTACAGGCCACCCACCCAAGCAGAAGAAATAGATAACTTTTTGCTAATGTGTATAGGAAACACACCACAGTAGAAATGGGGGGGGGGTTAACAACCCTGACAACTGGGAAACCTAGTACTTAGACTTATATACCACTTCACAGTACTTTACAGTCCTCTCTAAGTGGTTCAAAGACTCAGCATATTGCCCCAACAATGTGGGTTCTCATTTTACCAACCTCCGAAGGATGGAAGGCTGAGTCAACCTTGAGCCAATGAGAATCGAACTGCTGGCAGTTGGCAGTCAGAAAAATTATAGTTTACAGACCAATCAAGCTGACATCAATATCTGGGAAGGTCCTGGAAAAGATAAGCAACAGATCTGCAAACACCTAGAAGTAAGCAAAGTTATAACCAGAAGCCAACATGGGTTTCTCAAAACAGTTCATGCCAAACAAATCTTAGTTCATTCCTAGATAAAGTGACTTAATTAGTGGGCCAGTGAAATGTTGTGGACATAAGTATACTTGGATTTCAATAAGGCATTGGACAAAGTAGACCATAACCTATTTTTTAATAAGTTAGAAAAATGTGAGATAGCATCTTCACCAGATGGATTCGTAACTGGCTGACAAACCGCACTCAACATGTAGTCTTTAATAGAACTACTTCTACATGGAGGGAAGAAAGCAGTAGTGTATCCCAAGGTTCTGTCTTAGGCCCAGTATTCTTCTGTATCTTCGTAAACAATTTAGATGGGGGATAGAAGGGGAACTCATCAAATTTGCAGATGACACCCAGCTGGTAGGAATAGCCAATATCCCAGAAGATAGATTCAAGATTCAGAAGGATCTCATCAGATTTGAACACTGGACCCTACCTATCAAAATGAAATTCAATGGTGAGAAAAGTAAGGGTTTACATATAGGCAAGAAAAATCAAATATACAAGTATAGCAGTAACTGGAAGAGGGATCTTGGAGTCCTAGTGGACAATCATTTAAACAATGAGCCAGCAGTGCACTGCAGCCACCAGAAAAGCCAATGCAAGCCTAGGCTGTATTAACAAAGAGATAGAATCAAGAACATGCTTTAGTACTGCTTTATAATGCCTTTGAAAGACCAAACTTAGAATATTGTATCCAGTTTTTTGGTCGCCACAATATAAAAAAGATGTTGAGACTCTGGAAAGCATGCAGAGAAGAGCAACAAAGATGATTAGGGGGCTGAAGGCTAAAATATGAAAAATGGTTACAGGAATTGGGTAGGTCTAGTCTAGTGAAAAGAATGACTAAGTGTGACATGATAGCAGTGTTCCAATATTTGAGGGGCTGTCACATAGAAGAGGGGGTCAACCTATTCTCCAAAGCACCTGAGGGCAGGACAAGAAGCAATGGATGGAAACTAATCAAGGAGAGAAGCAACCTAGAACTAAGGAAAAATTTCCTGACAATGAGAACCAGTGGAATGGGCTGCCTTCAGAGGTTGTGGATGCTCTTATCACTGGAGGTTTTAAAGAAGAGATTGGACAGCCATTTGTCCAGAGTGGTACAGGGTCTCCTGCTTGTGCAGGGGGTACCTCCAAGGTCCCTTCCAACTCTGTTAATCTATTATTTAACACTCCTTCTAAACTCTTTCTGGCTATCATTGTTTCCTGGTGCGAAAAATGTTCTAATGGAGGAATTGCCTCATCATACGGACCATTGCAATTCTATTAAATTGGGGAAAGGCAATGAGGGAAGAAACCTGGTGGGAGAATGAGTTAAGTATGTGCATATCATCCATCAGAATTTTGCTGAAATTGTGTATGAAAATACATTCAAGTTCCTTTCTATCAAGTATTGTTGTTGTTGTTGCAGTAGGGGGAAAAGGAAGCAAAATAAATGTGTGGCAATGTAAGAGGTGCCATAAAGCTGCCATTACAATATATCATAGAAAAAAATCTAGACAATATTTTAAACAGTAATTCCA